GAGAAATGGTGCTTGCGACTCCTTTTTTTAAAAAACATTTTCATATCCAAGTTGAAACACGTGGGGTCGCTGATGACCACATGTTTATGTGAGCTCGGTGTTTTTCAGTCTCCTCCTTTCCGCGTGAAGCGTCAGCAGGCTGCGAGTGCTTTGTGAGACACGAATGGCGATAAGGAGAGGACCGGAGTGGATGGGATTACAAATGCTGGCCGATGGAGTGGCGTTTTATGGATAAATATACATTTTTATGTCGTCAGTTTCTTTGAAAGCAGCGATGGGCAGTGGGAGGAATAACGACATTCTCTGTTGGCTTTTCATCCTGTTTTTATCTGACTGGACTGCTGCTCAGATATCCTTCTCTGTTTCCGAGGAGGTGGACAAAGGGACTGTGGTAGGGAATCTCGCAAAGAATCTAAATGTAAACGTTCGAGATCTGCAAACCAGGAATCTAAATATCGTGTCTGGGTACAGTAAGAAATATTTCGAGGCAAATTTTAAAACGGGGGATCTTTATGTTAATGAGCGAATAGACCGCGAGGAGCTGTGTCCAAACGCGATCAAATGCACGCTAAACTTAGAGGCTATACTGAGTGATCCCATGGTTCTCCACCGCATCGAGGTGGTAATTGTTGATTTAAATGACAACGCACCTACCTTCGTCGAGAAGGCATATTCATTAAACATATCTGAATTGTCACCTACGGGCGAACACTTCTTGCTTCCCCTGGCTCTTGATGCAGACACGGGAAGCAATTCAGTCAAGACTTACAGGCTGAGTCCAAATGAATACTTCTCCCTAGATGTACAGAGCGGTGGAGAACATAGTGTTTCTGCTGAATTGGTGCTGTTGAAAGCTTTGGATCGTGAAAAACAGGCTGTTGTTAAACTAACGCTGACCGCTGTAGATGGGGGAAAGCCTCCTAAAACCGGGAGCTTGCACATTAATGTAAATGTTCTGGATGCCAATGATAACACGCCGTCATTTAGTAAAACGCTTTACAAGGCACGAGTGAATGAAAATGCGGCAGCTGGATCGTTAGTAATTCAACTGAGTGCCACAGATTTAGACGAAGGGGACAACGGGAGGGTTACGTACTCTTTTGTCAAGCGTGGGAACTTCAACCCTGCGGATGTGTTTTTAATAAATGCAGAAACAGGGGAGATCACAGTAAAGGGTAATTTGGATTATGAAGCACAGCCAGTATATGAAATTCATGTCCAAGCAAGAGACCAGGGGTTTTCTCCCCGGAGTGCAAATGGGAAGCTGCTGGTGGAGGTAGTTGACGTGAACGACAATGCCCCAGAAATTGTGGTGACGTCACTCATGAACCCTGTTAAAGAAGATGCTGAAATAGGAAGCGTCGTCGCTTTAGTGACAGTGACTGATAAAGATGGAGGAAAAAATGGTCAGACTAACTGTAAACTTATTGGCTCTGCACCTTTTAAGCTAAATTCCAATTATAAAAATTATTACTCTTTAGTCGTAGATGGACCTCTCGATAGAGAAGAGTGGTCCATTTACAATGTGACGATTACAGCTGTTGATGAAGGGACCCCGCCTCTATCCAGCACCGGCGTTATTACTGTTGATGTTTCTGATGTCAATGATAACGCACCTCATTTCATTGAACCCGTGATTAATATTTATGTAAAAGAAAACAGTCCCGTTGGAGCGCGTATCTATACGATAACAGCAGTGGATCCTGATATAAATGAAAACGCTAGAGTAACATACTCATTAGAAGGTGATTCAAAAAGTATTCCCATTTCATCTGTTGTAAACATTAACTCAGAGACTGGAGATATAGTCAGAGTCCTTAACTTACGAGGAGTTGAAAACGTTTTCAAGTTTAAAGTTTTGCAGGCCACAAAGAGCTCCTGGTGGTTCCCCCGCTCAGGCCAGCAACCGTGACTGTGAAGCGTTTTTTTCTGTATTCTGGAAATGAAATGAGCAATAATCCCAACCGAATTCTCCGCCGGCCCTATTCTGAAGCACGCTCCTTTTAAGGCAGTGAGAGCATACCCTAAATTCTGCTGAACGGGATACTTTGGTGGGCCAAAAAGAATCAGGGCGCCTGTAAGAAAACCGGGCAAAGACTCTGGATAGCACATGCCGCTGCTTTTCTTATCACCTTCTGAAGCCAAGGAAAACAACCTCTT